TCAGATTGTTTGTCATGTGAAAATGGCACACCAAAATGTTATGTGTTATATGTGATACTGTAAAATACTTTATTTTCACTTGGAATTAATTTTTGGTATTTATTCTGGAAGAAATGATTCAGTGAAAACAAAATCCAGCGAAAAAACATTTTTTTTCCTATATTTTACATTCAACTCATCAAAAATCAGTGAAAATAAATTCCATACACAACACTCAAAAGGCCTTTCCAGCAAAAATTAATAATTCCAAGTAAAATAAATTATTTTTACAGTGGGAAATTTTCCAAATGGACATTGAATACAATGGCGTTTTGAGCGTTTAGCCTTAGTTAGTCAAAATAAAAATGGATCAGATTTAACCCATAGTTTCTTGACTGTGATAAGTGTGTGCTACGCAGGGCTACCAGCCGTAATGTGAAGTACTTGGATGAATCCGCCAGTGTTGGAGAGTGTTATGTTACAATCGACAGGCAATACGTTAAATACGAACGGAGTATATCAACAATATTTCAGTGATATTTAGTCCATTCTTAAATTAATACTACTATAATATGTATAAAGATTTAGTGGTGACGGTGGCCAGTCGACTGTGCCCGGAGAATGGGTAGTAATGCAAAATTACCGGTAACATTTATTATTGATTTTACGCCCTCTGGTGTCAAGATTATCAAAATACTACATTTACGTGTATATTATGAAGTGTTATCACGTAATGAATATGTTGATGCTTTTGACCGTTGCCGTTAAATGTAACTAATAAGAACACTGGCATGTTCGGTATCAAGTCACTTGGAATAAATTTGAAATACAACATATTTTTTTTTTATTTCAGACATGGAAGATTATTTACGAACACTTGTGGAGCGCGGTAAAGACAACATGACACTGTTGTTGTATTTGCAAAAAGATTACTGTGTTTCCTGGAGGTAATAAATGTTTATGGGTTTTACTGCTAGACATTGGATTGTTTTATCTTTAAGTTAGTATGTCTAAATGTTAGAAATGTGTAATCATTTACTCTGCACATAAAGAATAATCTTTGTTTCTCTTCAATTCTTAATAATTGTTTTTAGTCTTAGTACATTAAAAAGACGCTTGAAAGATTGGAATATTAAAAGGCATGGAGAATATACACCTGATAATGTTCGAAGAGCAGTGCAAGTAAGCATAGTTTTTCATCATAATAATTTAAACAATCATATGATGTATGAGGTCGGATAAAATAATGTTATACTAAACAAACTACATTTTGTACTTTATTATAATTGAGTATAGTTTGACACAGCATATGAATGTTTTGTTTTTTTTTCAGAAAGAATTGCAAACAGCTAGAAAACTTGTTGGAATAAAAAGAATGTACCAGCGATTGAGACAACATCACCATATGCTAGTTAAAAGGTATCTTCATTCATGACATATGATGTTGACATCCATAATATTGTGTCTAGTATATAGATATGAAAATTGTTGTTCCATGTAACTGTTCATTGTTTTCCTAATGTTATATCGTATTTTCAAAATAATGATATTGCTGCATTTAATTGTTTCACAGAGATCAAGTTGAAGCTATCATGGTGGAGCAGAACTATAGTGCGATGCTTAAAAGACGCTGTGGCAGATTACAGATAGGGGAAAGGCGACGTTTTTTTTCAAAGGTAACTAAATACAAGTAATTTACTGGTTGCTACCAATGCATTTCATAAAAAATGCTTTCTTAAAAAAATCACATTTATTCCATATCAAACATTATAACTTAATTATGCTATTAAATTGCATGTTCTACTGTTTGAACACATAGTAATTTTAGGCATCTGGTATACCTTTTATATTCTTTGTAGGGACCAAACTGGTCTTGGCATTTAGACGGCTATGACAAATTGCTTGGATATAAACGGAATAAATTTCCCTTTGCAGTACATGGATGCATTGATTCCTTTTCAAGAAAAATCTTGTGGATGAGAGTACACCTTTCTAACAAAAGCCCAAATCGTATTGCACTCTATTTTTGGGAAACTGTAATTGCAGAAAATGGTAATTGATTTGTTTTATTGAAATTAACATAATGATAATATGGCATCTTGATAGAAAATAATCTCTTGTTCATCTACACTAATTGATGTGACATGGATAGTTATTAGACAGTTTTAACTTTTTAAAGCTACAAAGCTGATATCAGTGATATCATAAATGCATTCCTAGTTTATCCAAGAAGAACACGGTCTGATGCCGGAACAGAAGTTGGTCTACTTGCTCAATGTCAGATGTTTCTGCATCGAAATACGGATGTCAAGGATGTACATGTATACGGGTCTTCAATAACCAATCAAGTAAGCAACTTAGTTATTTCCTCACCAGTATATATCACATTTTTTTTGTATATGATTGTTCGTGTGTAAATCTTACTGTTATGAACCATGAGAAATTGAATGACTAATGCTTGTGTATATTATAAACATTAAGCATGGAATACACAATTTACAATTCTAGTAGATAGCTGTAAAGAACTGCTTATTAATCATGTGCAATAATTGCAGAGACATAACATTATATTCAGACAGACAGCTTGAATGAAAAATGTACCATCATGTGTCATCATACTACACCTACTATCATAATAATAGTACATCATTATGAGAAACTAAATAAGTGTTTATAATGGATGGTCACATGTGACATTTGTGTGATTACCGGTATATTGGTAAGCACAGAATCATTCTGAGACATTGTATGATAAATTTATAAAGCATGTGCTTTGAACAGTGTCTTTTCTATTTATCTTTCTTTATAATTAAATTATGGTTAAAGCTGTTTCATGATACTTATCAGGGTCTAGAAAGCAGATATCACCACCAACAATAATTGAAAAAAAAGGATTAATAATTTTCTGTTTTCTAATGCCTGGGAGCACACCTGTATGTGATTTATCCATAAACAGGGTTGTTTTAATTTATTTTACTTCACACTATTTTAACAGTGTATAGAAAGCTGGTGGGCACAGCTAAGAAAATACAATGCTCAATATTGGATAGATGAATTCAAGGTGAGATTATACTAAAAATTGTTGTATGTATGCAAGGGGTAGGTGACTAGTTTAATACCATTATAGTGATTGCTGTTTAAAATAGAATGCAACTTGCGCATTTTTTACATGTGTACATATTTTAACAAATATAACACTGGCACTATTTTGTGTTAAAATATGTATACAATTAATCATTGTTAGTTTTTAATTAATAGTTTATGGGTTTTTTTTGCCCCATTGTTAATCTGTTTTTGAGAAAGTGTTAAATAATATATGCATAAACGGGTGAGCAGAATTGTTCCACGAGTTCAGAAAGTATGAAACCATTACCAATCAATGTAGTACTTTAGACAAATCCACAAAGTATTTTATGAATTGTTTGTTGGAACACTTGTTTGATAAGAAAACAGGTTTTTCAATCATTGAAGTTTTATTTACATTTACAAATTCACAGTTTTTGT